CATGATCCCGGAGGCGCATCTAGTTTGAGTCGTTTCGCAGGGGGCTCTCGGTCCTGAGAGTCGCTGGTATTCGCGGTAAGGTCGATGACTGCCGGCTGTCGGGGTAGCGGTTGCGGCATGGACATTGACAGCTTCTCCAGCTGCGGGTCGGACTGAACCAGAGCTTGGGAAGCATCAACGCGTCCTGAGCCGTTATTGAGGGCGCGCAGGGAACGGCCCCATGGCTGGACGCCGGCGGAAGAATGAGGTATCATGTCAGCTTCATGGTGTATCCAAGCGTCGGGATCTGATCATTGGCACCGCGCCGTCACGACGGCTACACGACTATCCTCAGGGATGGTCACCGGACGCTTGTAATGTAGATTGGTGATGTGCCTGATAGAACCAGGACCGGTATACTACACATTCGATCCTTTCAAATTGACTCTGGTGCGGTTAAACGAATCGAGGAGCTGGGTGGAGCGGCTATGGGGTGGAGGAGACGGAGGTTAAACCCCGGTAACCGTCGCGGAACTGAGAGTTTCGGGGGGGCAAGGCGGAAAAGGTCAATGGATCCGATGGCGGAAGAGATGGAAACGAAGATGCCCAGCGGAAGGGGGATAGTATAGGAAGGAAAGCAGATAGAAGACCAAGAAGGAAGAAAGAAGAAGTAAAGTAGAAGAGAAGGAGAGATAGACCAGGAAAAAGCCGAAGACGGTGGCCGAAGAGAGCGAATCTGGAGATAACGTAAGGAGGACCAACTGGCACCTGTATGACCGACCTACCCAAGAAGGAAGTCGCAGTAGCCCGAGAGGGGGCAAGGATTACCGGCTCGAGACGGTAAATTATCCGGCTGACGGCTGCCAGTCAGCGTGGTGCAATACCGCTGTAATACCGGCTATGGGGGAGGGGGGATCCGTATTTGCATTTGATGGATCCTCTTGAATTGATGATCGGAGCCAGCTTATCCATAGGCTAATCCGAGGGCTGATAACTAAACTAGTACGTACGTAGTAGTAAGTATGTACTCCGTAGTTATCCCTGATGGTTGGGGCTAATAATACCCACAGAATACCTACATTGTACATATTCTAGTAGTAGTCAAGGCCCGGAGTATCTACAGTGTTCCTGCTGCTGAATATCTAGACTGAAACCAAACTAATTCCTGACTTACTGTACATATTCTTTTTTTATTTCTGTACATCTTGCCTGATCTACCCGACTTTCCCCCAGGCTTCCCTCTCCGCATTCAGCAACTGACGCCGACTGACTCAATCCATGAAGAACTTACTAACCAGAAGATTGTTTGGTCTGTCGGATGGCCTAGTCCACCGCAAGTGATCACGCTATTCGGTAAATCTATCAACCAATCCTGAATCGATCATCTTGGCATCAGATGATGGGGGTCCCCTTCATTCGGATGATTCTGAACCTGCAACTCGACGCGATTACCTGATGATATCGCGGCATATCGCCCCATTCTTCCGCCAGTGGCTAGCAGGCTAGGATCGGATGAGAAATGGAAATTCCCAGGAGCCACTTGAATCAAGAGATAGGGACCATGGCGAGGCGACTCTCCGTGCCTAACCCAACCACAGCCATCTTAACTCCGCAGATCGGCCCGTTTTAAGGTCGATCCCTGCTCGACGGACAGTACTTTGGGATTGAATCCCAACTTGTTTGCGTCGCCTTACAGTAGTGACCCCCCCGGGGATTTATCTGTGATGCGCAATCTGTGCGGCGTTTGCAAGGTAATAGAATCTTGTCATGTTCCATCAATTCTACCTGTAGCACACACAAGGTGATACGTGTGCGATCTCCCTGGAGAAGGAGGGGCGAGGGGATATTAATTTTCCCTGACTGTCACAATCGAACAAACATACGGTGAACAATTTTCAACTATCCGATTCAGTATCCCGACTAAAACCAACCCTAGATGGAGACTATTCAAACTTTGCTTGAAGCACACTTCCGTCTCTTCCTTCTCCAAGACATTTTTTTTCCTAGTTTTTCGCCTTGAAACCCACTCTCCATCACCCTGTGGGCCGTTGGATCAAGGGGATCCCATTCTCTCGGATTCCTCCAGTCTTCTCCTGCCTAAGCGCCCCGAGCCCCGTCGGGAAGATCCATTGCCGAAGGATGTTAGACATGTGTCATGATATTATTCTTCTTGACCATCCCCGTCACTGCCATCTCCCACCTGCCATCTTCAAACGTCCGGCTGTGGGATGCACCCCCTCCACAGTGGCATGACACTGCGTGGGAGACTGTGAGGACCGTATGACTATGCCGTCTGATTCCAAGCTTCTCCGCATCTTAAGTGGCACATCGCTGTAGATCTTCCATGACCTTTTAGCCTGTAGATGGATAGATATAGTGTTTTGATTGCCTTCAGGTCGCCACAATTCCTCCGGTCCTTTACGCACTAGAGCACCTACGCCTGCCCTGTGCTACTGGGTATCTACTCAGCAGAGATCTCCTGTTTTAAATACCGGGAACAGGGATCCATGTGCTGAACGCACTGGATCATCCCGGAAACTCCGAGCGCACAGACTGGCGCATCACGGGCTGGTACCAGATACTGGCCATGGAGCAGCCTTTCAGTAACACCTATCCTAGCCGCAGGATGCAGTGCAACCCTGGCTGTCCCAGCTCGCAAATGGCCACGGTGAGATGAGCGGATAGGTACACAAGCATGGTCCGGATTAAAATCGGGGTTTGCGAAAGGGGCTGCTCGGTTCTGGACAGCCACGGAATGGGTCCTCCGTCGGAAGCCCAGCCCAACGCCCCCTTATGCACATGAATAATTAATTGCAAAACAAATAATTATACGCCTATTTCTTGGAATAGATAGATAGGTCGTGAGACTCTCCATCTCTTTATCATTTGGTGTTATTTTTTCCAGAAAGCACTGTGCATGCGTGTGTATCTTGCATCGCCCGCCCGGTCAGAAATGGGAGGGTGCTGGTGTTTGCGACACCTGAGCTGATCTTGATTCCAATCGCTGACCGTATCACTGTTGATCGCCCCTATCGCTTAAAGTTAGTTGATCAGAAGTACAGAGCAGGCTGACCTGAGTGTCTGATACGGCTCAACCCGAAGATGGGTGATCTCCGAAGGGATCTCTGTCTGGTCCCTCATCTCTACAGCTGTCCTCCGAAGGGACTAAGTACGCTAATCTAAAGGTGCCCGGCTCCGAAGCTAAGCAGTCACGCTTCTTGAGTGTGTTTGCTCGATATCATCCACTAGTCCAATAATTAATTTAATACGTAGCATTCGTTAAGAGATAGCTAAAAACTACTAGCTCTGATTGCGATCGTCTTTCGGTCGCCAATGCGTTCGCGAACTCATAATGGGATAATCTAATGGGACAACTTATCATCCGGGGGAGATAAACCTCGGATCCGGGCAGCCTTTCCGCTTTGGTCTTGGCGTCACGCATCGCTTGGTTGGCCTGTTCGCCTGTCTCTCAACCTGAACGAAGGTACCTCTTTCACGGCCTGTGCAGTAGCCTCGGAGTATCAAGCGACAAGATGGCATCCAAGAAGGATATGCGGAGGTTGGACCTCGGTAAGTATTACGTCCTACTATCAAAATATTCAGCTTCCGATTTTGAGCGTGTGTTCGCTGACGTCGACGTCGTCTACTAGCCATCCCCTACATTGACCCTCCCAAGAGCAAGGATGAGGCCGACATGTCTAGTATGTGACGAATGGATGATAGATTACATCGTGGATGAAATAGCAAGGACAATGTGCTGATTGCCCGGTTCAGGCGCCATGTCTAGCACCATGCCTATGGCTGCGGTAAGTCGCGAACCCCGATCTGAAGATATCGTGCCTGTTCAAGCTTCAGACGCGCTAATACCTACGACAGATGTTCACCAGGAATAGGTGAGCGCAAGCTCTATTGCCTCAATTGTCTGTGTGTGTGTGTGTGTGTATTCTAACAAACCTTGCGCGCGCAGAATGATCGGATGGTAGGTAACAACATCTCCAACGTTTCAATGGTTGGCTAACTTGAGTCAACCCAGGGTCTCCTTCGTTTTCTCGCTCCAGTCCTGGCTCGGTGAGACTCCAGACCAGAAGAGAACTGCTTCGACTCCGGCCTATATGTCCGTCTTGATGTCCTGTACGTGTACACATTCTGCCCCCGTTACAAGGGACTTGTGAACTAACTGCTGCATGCGCTTATAGTGATGGCTTTGGTGGTTGTATGTTGCCAGAAAATCCCGACGAACGATAGGATCCTCTCTAATGTGCTTTCTATAGACCTACTTCCCCATCTTCCTGCCTCCCCAGAATGCGCGCGCTGCCCCGGGCGCTACTGCTTCCACCACTCCTTCCCCTTAAGCGACAACCGTTTCTGTGATACCATTGCCGACGAGTTCCGATACACTATAATACCACGAAGTTTTTCAGTTCGCATTAAAAAGGGAAGAGTTGAAAAGTTGGGTTTGACGGTAGTAGAACGACGAAGGACATGAACAGTCCAGAGCCCTACGGCCACCTGTCATTTACTTTTCTGTACAGGGCGAGATTGTGATGCTATATGAACATCCTAATACCTCAATTGCCATAATATTATCATTATCTCTTTAGAGAAGCCTGAACATAGTTTGATTACCAAAGTTACTGTGGCGAGCTTGGGATGCCGTACTAGCCGTCCACAACACATTTCAGGGGTCCTGTGTCTCAGGCTTCGGTGCACGTATATGGCATGAGCTTGGCATGACGGATTTGCTATGTAAATCATATGCTAGACAGCAATAGACAGGCTCAACACTGCGTAGAACCTGCGTATGTATGAGGGGAGCCCGGGGGAAACGGAGGGAGGGAGAGGAGAAAGCCCTTGGCGGTTGCCACCGATGTCCAATCAGCGCCCCAATTTGGAAACCCAATTATAACATTTGTCTAGAAGCGCGACGCCTCTTCAGCCCGCCAAAAAGCTAAAGGGTAGCAATCAGAATGAACCTTGAACCTAAGAGACGGGCCAGTCATGGATGGAACGTACCAGATCACCGCGCTGGAAGGGGAAAGAGGGCTTAGTCACGGGCACACCGCCTTCCCCCACAAGGGCGCTAAGGCAACGCCGCGCCCCTCAAAAGGCTCTTCTGTTCTTCTTCCTGTTTCCTTCCCGACACCACCTCATCCACTTTTGAACCTCCAACTCCAAGTCTCCCAAGACTCTACGATCACTTCGATTTCCACAGAGATCTAATTCTCTCCCCTCGCTCACTTCCTATACACCGCTTTTAAGGGCCGTTTACGACGAAAGGCCGAGTTTATGTCCATCGAAAACCTTAAGACCTTCGGTGAGTCGCTTCGCCACCTCCCCCCCCCCTTCTGTGGACATCGTCCCCAGGCGCTCGCGGCACTGCCTGCAGCAGATGCTGGTCTTCTTGCGATGGTCTTTTGAAAAGATCATTGTGAAGTAGACTCTGTCTGCTAAGGCTTGGCTGTGTAGCCAGGGTTGTCCTTTTTGTCCAACTGCGTCACAAGTTGGCGGGGTAATATTTGGTCATGAGAGCCTGAGGCTGACACGTGCTCTTCCACAGACCCCTTCGCCGAAGCTGACGAAGACACCGGCGAGACTAAACAGTCTCAAAATTACATCCATATACGGATTCAACGTACGTTCTATTGTTGTCCCTTCCACGTGGTGCCTTCACCCCTTTTATCGTCGCTGGTGGCGCCACGCTATCTCACCATCTACCTATGACTAACACATATTCGTCCACAGAGCGCAATGGTCGTAAGACCTTGACTACCGTCCAGGGTCTTCCTAAGAAGTTCGATCAGAAGAAGATCTTGAAGGTCATCAAGAAGAAGTTCGGTATGTTGTCGCCTACTACCTACGTACATCGCCATGTCACTAACATACCCTTTCAGCCTGCAATGGCACCATCGTCAACGACACCGAGATGGGAGAGGTGATTCAGCTGCAGGGAGATCAGCGTAAAGATGTTCAGGAGTTCTTGACCGACAAGAAGGAGGGTCTCGAGCTGGACGCCAAGACCATCAAGGTCCACGGTTTCTAAGCCAGACGCCACGCCCCCGTTCCGGTCCCTTCTTCCCAGTCTACGTTTCCCTCAGAGCGGTGCGGCAGGGGACAGTATGTGTCCACCTGCCCTCCTTCTGATGTGGCATTGCGGTCCCCGCCACTGCCACGAGGGTTGTTCGGTCTAATATATTGTCTGCTGCTATTACCGCTCTTTGCCCGGAATACTGGACTTGGGCCTTTTGTCGAATTGATGCACTATCAAGTTGGTCATCTTTCCATTCGCGATTAGGCAATGGAAAGAGGCCCAGTGGGTCTGGCTTCCCTGACTCGACTGCTACATCTGGAATGGGATAATGACGGAACAAGGCGTTGGTAGATACCCAATATCTTCATAGATGATTTACTTCTTCTGTTTTCTACTTCTTCTGTGTCGTGTCTTCTGCTTGGCTTCGTGTGGCCACCAGTACGTGAAAGGACATATTTCGGCCTGCTTTGTTGCAAGGGTTGAATAAAGGATGGGGAGGCTTGGTCTCGATCACTCGTTATTCTTCAAATGTTCTAGTCGTTGGTGTGTTGCATTACCGCCTTCAACTGTCATAACCGTATCCTTGCTCGAGAATGAACTTTCATTCCTGGCGGATTGGTTTGATGAAATAACTTTTATTGCCTTTTCGGTTCCAATCTTTCTTCCTACTCTAATCTTCGTAGTTGTCGTATTTTTAAGCAGTTTTACAACAATGTCTTCTAGGAAAGGGAGTACACGGTTGCTGTGTGGTAGATTTAAGCTACTTACGAATGTTGTTTTAGCGCAAGAGAGTACAAGATTGGAATGATAGCTAGTCTATGGAAGCAGGCATTGCGCCGTAGTACATCTGTCGATAAAACTAATCCCTTCTAGCTTACAATTCCCCAAGTGGAGCCCGCCCGTCCGACACTCGCATGCGAAGGAAAATAGCCACAGCCCAATCCCAAAGCTTACGGGTAATGACGAAGACGGGCACTTCGGGCTCATTCTCACGCGTCAGATGCAACTGAAGGAGAAGCGATGACATGCTGACGAAACTGGCCACAGCCACGACGAGAAGTGCAGCTGCGGTTTCACGCTTGATTGTCGCGTGATTCTGGGTAGCATGATAAAGGAAGGTAAGGGTCTGATTTGGAAGGAAAGAGGAGGGAGTTAGCTTGACACATTCCGATCATCTGGGGAAATTATGCAATGAGGGTCGAGCTCAGGAAGCTTACAGTGGTAATGGATATCCAGGCGGGTAAAAGACAACGGGGGTCGGACGAAGCTCCGGAGAGGTAGAGGACCCAAGAAGTGATATAAGCAATCAAACCGTTTGTAGTAAGGAGACGAATAACAACAGCTGGTGGGGTATAGTTCAAAAGCCTGGGGAGGTTAGCGGTAAATCACATGAATGTTAGGATCCGAGGTTTGGCATACCATCGAGACATCATACAATCAGCAAAAAAGTAGGAAAGATACGCGGATGCACTGCACTGTAGTCATAGTTAGACCCTTTCTCCCAATGTACAATGCTCCGAGAAGAGAGGAGAGATAATCACATACCCACATAATAGCCAAGGCCACCTCTGTTACCCGGAATCGCCTTTCAACATCCCAGTCTTGACTAACACTCCCGACAATCGCCGCCGCCCACCCCTCATGTCCTATGCCTGGTCGAATATGCAGCAGTTCGGCCAGGAAGGTGAAAGCACACCGGAGCCCCCACCACGCGGCGGGCACGGTGCTCAGCGCGCGACAGATCAGTAACGGCAGATACCATTTCCGATCAACTCCTAGAATGACGGCCACTCGGGGATGAAGGGCAGAAGGGACCGAATGACCAGCATCGTTGATACTAGGAGTGGGGGAGGTGGAGGAGGCCGGGGAGGGCGGAACGACGGTCGAGGGGGCGGAGGAGGGGGCCACGGCTTTATCGTTGGAATCCACTTTTGAGAGTATGGAAGCCAGAGTAGTATAGAATGAGGAGTTGGGGGACGTGGGAATGGAATCCGACAGCGAAGCAATCAAGTCAGGTTCAGGAGAAGACGACCGGGCATGAGACGTTGAGAAGGATGGAGAAGCAGCATCACGATAAGGAGGAGCCAGCCTTAATACCCCGGCATATGCGGCCGTCACGCAAATATTACCCGAATAAGCGGCAGGCAGATCCGACGAGAAAGAGTCGTTGGTGGTAGGTCCAGAGCTAAATTGTCTCTGATCGGACCCCTAAGCGGTATAGTAGATTCTCTGGTGCACGGCGAAACTCCACGAAACAATCAGGTAGGCGGTGCTATGTCCGCGGCGGTCGGTAATGCTTGGGAAACGCAACGGAGGGCAAGTCCGAATCAATGAGCACACGCTCCTCCTGTCGTTCGAGGGAGAAGGCCGAGAGATGACGCTGGGGGAGATGCACGACAGGCGGGAAAGTGCATGGGAAGACTTCAATCCAAGTGAAGCCAAATCAGCCAAAAGGCGAGTCTCGCGGCGGAGAACCACCCGCCACGTGACCCCGGGGCCGCTCGGCGGAATTTCTTTGGCTTCGTTTTCGCGCTTCATCTCTTGCGTCCAGCTCTCCCCCGGCCTCTGCGTCTTGCTCTGTCCCGTCTGTCGAGGTTTTCCCTCTGGCCGCTACTCTCGTCATGGCGTCCTCGCTGTCCAAGGGCCCCGTTTTCTCGGCCATTCGATCCAGCAACGCTCCCTTCTCTGCCTTCCACTCGGGTCCGGCCATTGCTACACCATGCCAACGCCGATACCTTTCCCAATCCTCTCAACGCAGTGCTGGCCTCCGCGGCATGCCTCAGAACATCTCGATGCCATCGCCCGCTCAACCTAGTATGCGAACCCGGGGTAGGGGTATGCCTAGGACGGATCTTCCCCAGGATATCGGACTTTTGCCGGGCACCTTCATCCGGCCGCTTTGGAGAGACATGCCCTCTATCTTCCAGCAACCCTCGGAGCGTTTACATATGGAATGGCTGTGGATCAAGTCGGCTTTTCAGAACTTCGTTGGGTGAGTCCCTGTCCCTTCAGGACCGCCGCTCAATGGCTGCCAACGTCCGAGCTGCTAACAATCTACCAGAATCCTCGCCTACTGCAAATGGCTCAACAAGGGCCTTGCACTTAGACTGAGAGAGCGTCGACAAATCGCTGCCGAATACCACCAGAGGATGTACACTGCATTTGCCGCGTAAGTGTCCAGTCCACTCGTCCTACGACATCTCCCTCTCCATACAGCTCATTAACAATCCTCGCGAAACATAGCGGCGATACTTCTACCCTGCGCAAGGTGTGTTGCACCGGTCTTGCCAACCAGCTGAGCACCCGCATCGCTGCTCGTCCCAAGGGCGAGCGTGTCACTTGGAACCTGGACAGTTACATTCGCTCCCCGGGCACCTACTTCACCGGTGTTCGCGTCATGTCGGATCGTGCGACTCAGATCCCCGAAATCCCCAACTCCGGAGTTCGCCAGGTCGTTCTGCGCATCACCAGCCGCCAGTCGAAGGGCACGACCAAGGCATCTCCCAACGGTGTCCCCGCTGACAGCACCGCCGTGGCCAACAACACCAAGCAGCAGGACTGCACCGAATACCTCGTCATTCAGCAATTCCGCTGGGCCGGCGAGGAAGACCAATGGCGCGTCTGGGGTCACGCTACCCCCACGACCGTGGAAGACCTGGAGAGTCCCTTCTTCGCCCGTGGCATGAGCCTGGCGGACCGCATGGAGGCCATGAAGGAGACGATGACTGGAAAGAAATAAGCCAGTCAACATCCGATCCTGAAACCCAAACCCACCATTTGTAACAAGACCTGAGTGCAACCCAAGCCTCCTCTCCACTTAGGGGCCACTCCTTGAACCAGCAAACAAGGGCCGTGTGTGGTTTGCAAGGCCCGCATTGCATTGTATTGATACGCAGTGACGAAGCACAACAAAAAAGTGTGTTCATCTGTTAGCTTGGTATCTGCTTCTACTACTACTTACTACTACACATCATCTCCCCCTCCCCTCCCCCCAATCCTCTTGCATCTGCCGTTGGCTGCGGAATCATCTTACTGCTTCGCATCCAATTCGATTCTTATCATGTGTTATTGAGAACTACCCGATACCATGCAGTCGATTGATTCTTGCGCTTTTGTGTTCGTCGTTGGATTCTTGTCTTTGACGACAGACGGACTATATCTGGGCTCATAGCATATCATTCTCGCTGCGATTCTGTATTATATCTGATTGGCTATTATCTCACCAATTTGAATCTTGTAATTATTTACATTTCAATTACTACCTCTTGGGGCTTACAATATGGGTTTTAGTGGTTTTAGGAGATGATTAGTTGGGTACTGGTTCGTGTCCTGGTATCGAAGGCATCGGAAAATCAGTAATCACAGCGACCTACCCATCCCAAGGGAAATACTATGTACAATCGTAGTAATAGCAGGGATTGGCAAGAACAATGGAAATAAATAAAAGAACAAGAATGGAGGCGGTTAGATCGTAGCAAAATGGGAAACGTGGTATTCGCGTAAGATTAAGGGCAGCAACAAGAACTGCGAGGTTGGGGTTCGTTCAGTAACTTGTGGGTCAATGGGCAGAGGCGATGGATCTAGTCGTCGTCGAAGATTTGGAAAGTGTTGACTAGGACAGTCTCAATGACTCGGACCTGCCAGCCGGCATCTGCAATGTTGCCGCCAGAATTGGCACCCATAAGGGTAGGTCTGGGATTGTTAGTCGGCAAGATAGAGAGGGAAAGACTGTCACGACTTACCCGAAACAGATGGCAATGTTCCCGGCGTTCATCCGATTTTGTGTGTAATGCTCTTGGATTTTGTTGAGATGCTGCAATGTGTTAATTCACAGGTCTTCAATTAGGGCAGGGCAGAGTTAGTAGACATACCAGTATCAAAGCCCTCAATGTAGCGTAATGAGCATCCGGAAGGTTGTTAACTAGCGCATGGAGTGAATCACGGCGCTGGATGTCATCATCGATGCCTAGATAGGAGTGGTTAGCGCAAAGTCATACAGTCTTGGTTAAGGTTACTTACGGGCCGCATTAATGAAGTCGTTGTAGAAATGTGATGTGAACAGCGGGTCCGGCAGGTCCCGGAAGAACTGCTTCAAGAGCCCAGCGACACTGTTAACATCATGATAAAAGTTCTCTGGGTTAGTAAAATCGACTTGCGATGAATCTGCCGTTCGTTAGTTCGGGCTCATTCCTAGTGACTCGAGAGGCCAACGCACCATTGTCGAACAGCGCCTTCATGTGGCTGATATGAGTGGCACTACCAGAAAGTCGATAAATACCCTCCATGTCCAATCCAAAAAGCTCAATAGCCTGGAAGCATTGGTAAACAATCATTGGGACGGCTGTCCCATCCCGGGTATATAGGTCATCCAAAGATACGCCAAACACCGGCTTCAAAGGAGGAAGGTTAGGGCTAGGCTGGAAGCCATTCCCAGTTGGTCCCAGCGGCGTCTTCGCCGGTAGCGCAGGAGCTTGATTCAAGTGATGTTGCTCAGATCTCGATGTGGGATAGGGAGGCTGGAAAGGCGGAGACGAGTATGAATCAGGATTTTGTGGATATGGCAATGATTCAGTGGCTGGGGGAGAAGCAAGTGCCGGCGCCGGAGCCGGAGCTGGAGCCGGAGCAGACACCGGTGCTGGTGCTGAGGGTTGAGACGATGCCGGAGTAGAAGAAAGGAGGTTTGATTGCGAGAATGATTGAGGCAGGAACATTGACTGGCGCTTATTCTGCGTGGTCGGTTGCGAGGCAGGCACAACGGGCCCGGAAGATGATCCTCCAAGTGTCTGGTATGCAAGACTTAGCTGAGAACACATTGGCATCGGTACATGCAGGACTCACCGG